TACAACTTTTAAATAGGATATTTATTTAGAGTATTATGAAAGTGACACTTATAAGCCATACTTTTTGAAAACTTTTGAACCCGAATTTTTTAACGGGGCCTTTCAATCTATTTACATTTTTAAAAAAAAATTAAATTGAATAATTTTTTTAATAGTGCTCCATTTTAAGTTAAAACGTTGGCACCCTTATGGAAGGATTTTCATCATCATCATGTCCCTTAGTCCTTGGACCGTTGATGACATGTGAACCATCCTCCTCCATTCGTCTCATGTTTTCAGCGCTACGCACAGCATCGCCCAGTGTTAGTCCTGTCCACTCTTTTATGTTATCCTCCCATATTTTTCTTTGTCTTCCTCTTCTTCTCCCTCCTCTTGTGGTGCCCTGCAATATTTCTTTGGGTAGTCCTTGTTTCTTTGTTACGTGGCCGTACCATTGTATTTTGCGTTTTTTCACAGTCACCAGTAGGTCATTGTACTCCTCAATTGCCTGGCGAACCCTTTCTTTCACTGTATCATTGGAGATATGGTCCCTATAGCAGATGCCAAAAATGCTTCTGAAGAATCTCATCTCTCCGACCTTAATTTAATTTGTGATGCATGTGGTGTTATTTGTAACCAGTTTAGTCTTTTCGGCCCTGATTAGCTTGCCGTAGGACGACGAGGTCTTGTCGAGACGCTTTACCAGGTTGGCTAGCTCTTTTTCGTTCCCAGCCAATCCGTCTATTTCGTCCGCAAAGCGTAGGTTGGTGATTGTTCTGCCATCAATGCTGACTGTCCCATCATGCGCTTCCAGAGCATCTGACATAATTCTATCTAGGAAGATGTTGAACAGGGTGGGGGAGAGCAGGCAGCCTTGTCGTAATCCAACCGTAATCCAACCTTTGTCTTGAGCCATTCTGCGATGTTGTTGTTGACGAAGACTGCACTGGTGGCCTTATCATAGAGGTTGCATATAATGCTGGTTAGGTTTGTGTTGATGTTTACGGTGGCCCATAAAGCAGCATACCAAACCCTGTCGAATGCTTTCTTGAAGTTCACAAAGACGTGGTATAGATTTTGTTGGTGTTGTGTATATTTCTCACATAGTATTCGGAGGTTTAGAATCTGCTCAGTAGTGCCCCGTCCTTGTCTGAAGCCCGCCTGTCCTTCAGCAATGATTCTGTCGGCATATGGTTTTAGTCGGTTCAATATGACCTTCAGCATGACCTTGCTTGGATGGCTAATTAGACTTATGGTGCGATAGTTTTGGCATAGCTGTAGATAACCTTTTTTGGGGAGGGTGACGATGAGCGATTGGGTCCATGGTTTGGGCCTTCCCTTGTCAGCCATATTTAAATATTAACTTAAATATTACTACGAAGAAACAAAGAAGTTGCCAAACTTTATTTACTAAATTAAATGGTATCTTTTGGTCTGGGCTCAAACCAGGACCCGTTAACACAGTGGATCTCAACCTTCCTAAATACATAAAGCACAAAGCTTTTTTACATAATTTTAAAAAAAAATATTTTATTGATTGAAATTAATAAGTAGAAGTGTTGAAGACAGAACTTTGGGTTTAATATTTAACTCTTCTTAAATAGCACAATATTATTCAATAATAAATAGTCTACTCTTCGCTGATATCAGAACAGACTCAACTTCTTTCTCACTGTACACTAATCAAAGTTTGCCAAATTTCTTTAGCACTGCACATTAATCAATACAGATACAAAAACTTCATTTATATGTGATCCCAATTAACTGAAATAAAACCATTCATACTGATGCTAATTTTAAAATATCTACAAAACAATCAACATAACTATGTATAATAATTTTGTTTTTATTTGCTTATTATAAGTAGGTTATTATAGGTGCTTATTATAGGTCTGTAATAAAATATTAAACAAATTACTAAAATAAAATTTGATAAAAACAAACTTTTATTATCATAACTTAAAATAAAAACAATTATATATCAGTTATGCAACTCCAAGTTCATCAATTTTTTTTAATACCAATATAGTAAGCTATACATTTCATCAATAAGTCATTGCCGTGATATTCAAGACATCCTGGTAAATTAATAAAATATCTTCAGGAATGGGGCCATCCACATGTCCTGTAAGCAAGTTTTCATACCCCACTTTGTGCAAATAAGAATTTTTCACATCATCAGTAGTCAGTAGTCATCAGCCCTCAACTCCAAATTCCTGTTTCAATTTATTTAAAGCCAATTGTGAACCACACTGCAATTAAACGAAGTCACTATAAAGCGTGTTTAAATAGCCAAACAACATAATTACGCCACCAGCACAGAAACATACACAGGCGAATAGTGGACTTAAAGAAAGTTGACGTAAAAAGTTAAAGCTGACACTGGGCAAATTATTACTGTTGCCACATCTTGTTCATTTGTGAACAACAACAAAATAAAGAGCAACAGTATGAGGATGATTACAAAAGACACTGCTGTGGTTTTTACATTTTATACTCATTTACTAACTAGACTTTGAAAATACTTAGAAATCATCCGTTTCACCTATTTTTAAGTTGATATTGGTTTTGTTAGAGATATAAATATGCAGTCAGACTTTCAGGATGATTTTGGCAGAATTTGTACATAAATGTTCATACACATTTTGTCGACCCCCACATGCTTCTTTGCTGAGTGGCTGAGCGGTCTAAACTGACTCAATCCAAACAGGTGGTGGTCTGGAGTTCAATCCCCACCAAAGCCAACATCCCAAGCAGCCCAGGTGGATGGGACTCATTAACTTTGGATAGCAACTCATCTAAGAGAAGGCAAACTCTGAATTCAAACCAGGAGCCAAAATGACCAATAAATTGATCGTGGGCCCTTGAATATGAAATTTTTTTTTACAAAATTCTCCTAACTCAACAACCCTCAGTTTGCACTTAAAATATGGGTGGCGCCTAATATTGTAAGTGATTGTAAGGAAAATAAGGGAGGCATCAAATCATTTATTATAATTATACTGCCTCTGGTATTGATTTGCTCTATCTTTACTTGGACATTTGCTATGTGTAACATCAGACTGGTTTTTAAAATGTTCTTTTGTTTTATTGGGTAGTAAAAAAATATATATTAAAAATTAAAAAAAAAAAAATTACAATAAATTAACAAGAAAACGGCCTCCAGAATTTGAGGTTATTCTCCCTAGATGTCCATGTCATGAACAGAAATGTCAATTTTTAAATTTAAAATAAACATTATAAAAACCAAAATAACATAGCAACAATGAAGTCATACTAACTGTATACATATATATAAGACATTCACTAGACAGATTTACATGGAAGACCCCATTTAATTTGGATTAATTTTGGTTTTTAAAAGAGGAAAAAAACTATATACCCGGCCAGATGTACGGTTAGATTTAGATTGGAAATAAGTGGCATATCTTTCATCAAGTATAAGCAATATAACCAATATTACAGGTATTCAATATATTGTGTAAAGTGAAACATGGAGGAATGTTGAACTAAAAGCATTGATTAAATTGATATTTATAAGCAATGTTAATCATGAGGTCTATAATATTATAATCATACACGAGTACCCATAGTTGCAATGAAAAGAATGTATAATATCAGATTACATTCGTCAATAAAAACAATGTTCCATGTTTTGGAAATCTAACCAACAATTTGAAACCAGTCCCTCAAACCAGTCATTCCAAGACCTGTGACTTCAGGCACATAATTATCTGTATCTTATCAGCAGCCAGAAACACTATAAAGCTTTATTGAAGGCACAGCCTTGACAATTTTGCTTAATAGACTTCCTCTTTCCTGTTTTTAGTGTAGGTGTTATCTTGATCTTCCACTGACAATCAATCATGTCTAGGAAAGTGGTTTGTGCTGATTTATTTCATGGTCTTAAAGTGTGTCGAACTGGCACAATCAATCAGTTTGAATCAACCATATCTGGATCAACTGTCAAAGATATGGTTGAGTGATTAATAAAGTGGATTGAACTGACACAATCAATTTGAATCTACCATATCTAGATCAAGTGTCAAAGCATCTACCCCATACTGTTTTAATTTTTTTCAACAGATTTTTTTTTTTACATTCCAAAAATATATAACAGATTGACGACAATGCATGCCATACTGAAGACAGATTGATGATTATGCATGCCAATCTGTGACAGATTGATGATTATGCATGCCATATGGATGACAATCTGTGACAGAATGATGATTATGCATGCCATATGGATGACAATCTGTGACAGATTGATGATTATGCATGCCATATGGATGACAATCTGTGACAGATTGTGAGAGTAAAAAAAAAGAAGCAGAATCCCCTGCTGCTACCCCTGCAGCATTTCAGCTTAAGGCTGGTCGAGAATGAAATAGAACACATAATGTAGTAGTACCGGTAGTACAAAAATTGAAATGATGTACCAAAAAATCTGTCTCTGCATATTTCAAAACATTGTTTTCAGTCGAGTAATGAAATACAGCAAAGTGAGGCAAACCTTACTAAAACTAAAACACCACATGCCATGTAAAATTGAATGACAATTTTTGTTTTGTTTACAAGCCCTTTTCAAGCCAGTAACTTGTAAGCAAAACAGGAGTAATCTGGTCCCACTATGTGCAAATAAGAATGACAAATAGACTACATTGTTATATTATACTACATATTTTAACCAATAATTTTCAATGAACCTTTTCCTAAAGCATATTTGGAACCAGAATGTATTCTAACAGTCTCTGTGCTCCAGTTCATTTAGTTAGATTCTTAGCTATTTTTTTCTATTAAAAACCATAATTTTTTCAATCCCAGATGTAAATTTATCTCCTTTTTTAGAAAAAAAAATAATTTTCGCATTCAAAAATCTGATATGTCAACTAAAAAAAAAAAAAACTTGCCAATTGGCTAATAATGAAACACATGACTGAAAAATGATGAAACGTTTCTAAGTAAAAATCTAAAAAGCTATTTATAGTTATGAGTCAATTTGTTTATAGTTATGAGTCAACAGCGGATTTATAAAACAATATGGACTGAAAAACAACTATTCCAATAAAATGACAGATCAGAAACATTCTAAAACTAAATGTTAGAATGCATCATTGTATTAATTATAAAAACAAAGATTCACAGCATTATGTTAAAATATATTTGTTCATCTCCTATTCTCTGACCGCCCAGCCTCTCTTCTTAAAGTTCTCTTGAACAATGTTGAGATCCTAAAAGAAAGAGAAAAAAAAAAAGAAAGGTTTTTAGACAAATGTTCCAAACCTATTTATTGAATTCTCTCTAGAGTGACTACCACTCCAGTAGATAAACCCTGGATTATGAAGTAACCCCCTTTAAACAGTTCACATAAAAAAGACTGGAAAGACTTTACAACATGGAATCAACACAGAGATCTCTAGTGACATGAAAACCAAATTTTGTATAAGAGATAAGATGAGAAATGAGGCAGAAAAATTCCTCACCTCTCACACAACTGAGGAATGCAACATTGGAAAGATGAAGAAAAACACACAAAAAATACTTTTAGATAAATACAACACGTAAAGTTTCCAGCAAGAATAAATTGTTTCTAATTCCAAAGCTTTGACTGATTCACTTACTTCAGCTAATTTACGTTTAAGTTCTGAATATGCTCGTTCCTGGTCATCATTCACAATGATAAAATCATAGGCACCTGTGAGAGCTGTAGACGAAAGAAAAAAAAAGACACATTGTATAGTCATATAATTTCTAAACATCCAACCTATGTACCAACCATTACAATGGCATATTTTTGTTGACAATAAAAGATTACTGTTCTTACTAAATTGAGTATAAATTTAATTTCTCTCTTATTATCTTATAACAAATACTGCAGACAGTAAAAATCGTGTGGACGTAGCTATCTTCCATCGAGCGCCTCACCAGGTGACTGATAGGGGAAAACCAACCAGATGTGGCGGGTATCGTGGAAATAAAATACCTGAGGCGGACCAAAATCACAACCGACTGCCTTGTAGGAAATAGAGGAATCCACAAAAGCTAGGGAACCTTACCACAACCAATAGGCACTGTCTACAACCAATAGGCACTGTCTACAACCAATAGGCACGGTCTACAACCAATAGGCACTGTCTACAACCAATGGGCACTGTCTACAGCCAATAGGCACTGTATACAACCAATAGGTACTGTCTTACAACCAATAGGCACTGTCTACAACCAATAGGCTCTGTCTACAACCAATAGGTACTGTCTACAACCAATAGGCACTGTCTACAACCCACCCCTTCAGTATCTTGCATATGCTGATCCCATAGCACCGAGTAAACCCCAGTTGAAAACTTCTGAAAGGCAGACTCGGGCTTAGATGGAGGTATGATGTGGAGAAAGATCTGCAGCAGCTGGGAATCCAAACATGGGAAAGAAACGCATCAGGTGTGAGTGGAAGTAAGTCAAGAGGCAGGCCAAAGCCATACACGGGCTGTAGTGCTACTGGGAATTAGCATCAGGTGTGAGTGAAAGTAAGGCAAGAGGCAAGCCAAAGCCATTTACGGGCTGTAGTGCTACTGGGAATTGATCGCAAAAATGAAATAGACTAATTTGATGAGCAAGACTCTGTTACATTTAAATTGAAGAATAGAGCTGAAATCACTGCTCATTTGTTGTGCATGGAATAACAATAGGTAAAAACCAGTTTAAAACCTAAGTGATTTATATGAGATTTCATTCATATGTAATTCGACAAACACCCCCTCCCCTCCACACTATTCGATTAATGGCGCTGTACTTACCATATTCTTGAGCCTCTTTAACTGCTGCCAGTCTTTTATTTAAACTCTCTTCAGTTTCTGTCTTTTTATCCCTCAGTCTTTTTTCCTAAATAAAATGAGCGGGTAATAAAAAGGTTGATGTTCATATCATTGAAACTCGGCTTACACAAACTGATAACCTATACATTTAAGAATCCACCTACCTTAATTCTGACAAATGAAGTTTAACATGTAGGCCTTGAGTAAAAGTCAGTCTCACTGGATAGGTATATAAGGTGAGTTTTTTTTTTTGGTTTCAGTAAAAAATTTTTTAGATAACAATATGCAAATTTAGTTTTCAAAATTTGAAATTTTAATAATTCAAGCAAATATTATTATATAAGAGAGCCTTTCAGTAATATTTTATCCATGAGCCGCCAAAGACGACCTATTAACAATGATTTACGGAGAGTGTGGGGGGGGGGGGGNGGGGGGGGGGGGTGTGTGTGTGTGGGGTGTGTGTGTGTGTGTGTTTTGGGTGGTTTAAAAAAATGTATTTTTAAAATTTAAAAGAACCTCAGACTATTATAGTTTATTAAACCCAGATGAACAACTGAATGCCTTGTGTTACACTGTAAGATAAGAGGGTTAAGACTAAATAAAATAAACGCCTGCCAATGTTTAGGACATACCAGAACTTCCAAGCTTGGTGGGCTAATGAAGATGTATCTTGGTGTTGGCTTGAGGTCAGATTTTTTTATATTTTTGACTCCGTTGATTTCAACATGCAGGACACAGAGTTTTCCAGAATTTGTAATCTCCTTCACCGACGTTTTACTGAAATGTTCCAAATGCTTAAGGTAACCGTGACGATAACCAAAGAAATGAAGATCAATAGACTGATATAAATAGAATGCTCTTAAACTTAAATAAAATTAGATGTGAGGTTTTTCTAAAGACTAATTTTTTTTCCCTTGTTCCATAGAAATTTCCAGAAAATTTAGCATATTCAAGGAAGCCATTTTCAGCAATTAACTTCTTAAACTGCTCCTCTGAGACAAAATGGTAAGCTGAAACAAAATAGATTAGAGATAAAATTCTTGTACTAATCCAAATAACTGAAAATGTGTTGTACATATTCAATTTCAGCACATAAATAAGTAAGTATTTTAACCACGACAACATTTTTAAAATCGGAACAAATTAAACACAGGACATGTAAAGTATTTCTCTGGGGGAAAAGTAAGTCATTATGTACCATAAAACTTAACTCCCTTAGTGAGAATAATGACATAATTAGTGATCATTTAGATTTGGTAACCGCTGGGAGAGCACACTGGTAAATTCTAACAGACTGGGAAAACATAAGACTTTGATATTTTTCTGTCCTAACTGAAAGAATTCCCCTGATTGAGCTGATCTATGCATCTGTGATGAAGAGGGTGGGATGTATCATCTAAAAAAAAGTAAGTTTTCACTACAACAATTTTATTTAAATAGTTCAAGTGAAGGCTGTTTAGTTTGTGTGTCTATTGATTATTCTTTGAAGTCAGTGTTTGATGTCAGGGGATAAATTCACACACCTGCAGGTAATATTGAAATTTGGTAGGCTTCCGCTTGTTGCCCTGTAGAATAAGTTAATAACTTGTTTTGTTCATGCTGAACTAGTACAATTTTTTTTAAAATAGACTTTGGTATAATTTTTTTTTTATACAGAATTCGGATGTGTCCATGCCATGTCAGTAATGGCGACAACTAGGTACTGAGATGTGTCGACTTGTGATTTTTTAGTGTGAGATCTGAAATTGGGTGATTCTCCCTTCAGAAATCAACAACCATTTCTCTCCTTTTCGACACATTCAGCTGAAGAATACTTTCATCGCAGCTCAAGAATACTTTCATTGCACCCACTGATAAAGCTTCAAACTTTTCATATAACCTTTCTCCTTTACATTCTAAGCCAACCATGGCGGTATCATTTGTAAATTTTATGATTGAAACGGTGTTGCTTAGGCTCTTTATGTAATTGTTCTTTTGTTGTTTTTTTTGTAATACAGGACAGGGGAGTGAATGCAACATTGTGGTGCCACAAAACTAGTTTCTCTAGTTAATGATATTTGGCTGCTCTCCTTGACATAGTGTGGGGGATTTGTTATAAAGCTCTGTATTCACACTTGAATATTTGAATTTAAATCTAACGAATGAAGCTTTTAAACTATAAGTTGTGGTAGGATAGTGTTGAATGCTGATAACCTTTTTAAGGTATTTCACACAACTACTAAAATGTACCATCTTTTGTAAGGTATATCTTAAAACAACCACTATACTATAATAATCGGCATCCTTCCGTCTCGTGAGACGATGGTGCATCACCGTTGGGTTGCATTTTCTCGAGTGGCTGTGCAGTCCTATCCTTGAGTGACAATCTTTACAAACACTATACTACACCATCTTTTGTAAGGTATATCTTCAATCAAACACTATAATACACCATCTTTTGTAAGGTATATCTTAAAACAAACACTATACTACACCATCTTTTGTAAGGTATATCTTAAAACAACCACTATACTACACCATCTTGTGTAAGGTATATCTTAAAACAAACACTATACTACACCATCTTTAGTAAGGTATATCTTAAAACAAACACTATACTACATCATCTTTGGTAAGGTATATCTTAAAACAAACACTATAATACACCATCTTTGGTAAGGTATATCTTAAAACAACCACTATACTACATCATCTTTAGTAAGTTATATCTTAAAACAACCACTATACTACATCATCTTTAGTAAGGTATATCTAAAAACAACCACTATACTACACCATCTTTAGTAAGGTATATCTAAAAACAACCACTATACTACACCATCTTTAGTAAGGAATATCTTAAAACAAACACTATACTACACCATCTTTAGTAAGGAATATCTTAAAACAACCACTATACTACACCATCTTTGGTAAGGTATATCTTAAAATAACCAATATACTACACCATCTTTAGTAAGGTATATCTTAAAACAAACACTATACTACACCATCTTTAGTAAGGTATATCTTAAAACAACCAATATACTACACCACCTTTAGTAAGGTATATCTTAAAACAAACACTATACTATACCATCTTTTGCAGGGTATTTGACACAAAACAACCACTTACCTGCACCATCTTTCTCCCCATGCCTTGGTTTTCTTGTTGTATCTGCAAAGCGTAAGACAGGGCAATGAACTAAGTCTTAATAAGACAGGACAGTGAAAAAAGTCTTAATAAGACAGGGCAATGAACTAAGTCTTAATAAGACAGGGCAATGAACTAAGTCTTAATAAGACAGGGCAATGAACTAAGTCTTAATAAGACAGGGCAATGAACTAAGTCTTAATAAGACAGGGCAATGAACAAAGTCTTAATAAGACAGGGCAGTGAACAAAGTCTTAGTAAGACAGGACAGTGAAAAAAGTCTTAATAAGACAGGGCAATGAACTAAGTCTTAATAAGACAGGGCAATGAACTAAGTCTTAATAAGACAGGGCAATGAACTAAGTCTTAATAAGACAGGGCAATGAACTAAGTCTTAATAAGACAGGGCATTGAACTAAGTCTTAATAAGACAGGACAGTGAACTAAGTCTTAATAAGACAGGACAGTGAACTAAGCTTTAATAAGACAGGACAGTGAACAAAGTCTTAATAAGACAGGGCAGTGAACAAAGTCTTAATAAGACAGGATAGTGAACAAAGTCTTAATAAGACAGGGCAATGAACTAAGTCTTAATAAGACAGGGGAATGAACTAAGTCTTAATAAGACAGGGCAGTGAACTAAGTCTTAATAAGACAGGACAGTGAACAAAGTCTTAATAAGACAGGGCAATGAACTAAGTCTTAATAAGACAGGGCAATGAACTAAGTCTTAATAAGACAGGGGAATGAACTAAGTCTTAATAAGACAGGGCAGTGAACAAAGTCTTAATAAGACAGGACAGTGAACAAAGTCTTAATAAGACAGGGCAATGAACTAAGTCTTAATAAGACAGGGCAGTGAACTAAGTCTTAATAAGACAGGACAGTGAACAAAGTCTTAATAAGACAGGGCAATGAACTAAGTCTTAATAAGACAGGGCAATGAACTAAGTCTTAATAAGACAGGGCAATGAACTAAGTCTTAATAAGACAGGGCAATGAACAAAGTCTTAATAAGACAGGACAGTGAACAAAGTCTTAATAAGACAGGGCAATGAACTAAGTCTTAATAAGACAGGGCAGTGAACTAAGTCTTAATAAGACAGGACAGTGAACAAAGTCTTAATAAGACAGAGCAATGAAATAAGTCTTAATAAGACACTGCAATGAACTAAGTCTTAATAAGACAGGGCAATGAACTAAGTCTTAATAAGACAGGGCAATGATTTAAGTCTTGATAAGACAGGGCAATGAACTAAGTCTTAATAAGACAGGACAGTGAACAAAGTCTTGATCAATTAATTGTCATAGTCATAACAAGATAATAATTCAGTTCTGTTAGATTTTCAAACAATAGAAGTGATTGGTCATATAGTGTTTGATTAGAAACAAACCAGTGATCCAATGTATGCGTTCACAAACGCAGTATCTAATTGTTTATCAAGCTGAGATATCTAGTGCATGCTTAGGCAAATATATTTTATTGATTATCAAGCTGAAATATATTGTGTGTCTTTACACAGGTGCAGTTTTTTTTTTTTATATATATAATTATCAAGCTGAGATATCTAGAGTATATGTACACACATGCACTATTGTATTGTTTATCAAGCTAGGGGATCTTATGTGTGTGCACACAAATGTAGTATTTTATTGATTATCAAGCTGAGATATCTAGAGAATGTGCTCACACATACAGTATTTTATTGATTATCAAGCTACTTGAGAGGGTGTGGTGCAAAGATGACCGGGTGGGGAAATCACAAATTACTTACGAGAAACACTAAAAGCAAAGCAACCAGGGTACACAACTTCTCTAACAGTGTGCTTTTCCCATTCCCAGACGGTCCACTCATAACAATGGGTCGAAGTTCTGTGGCACCCATGGTGACGAGGCTCTTTCCACAGTTACGTGCTGGTTAAAGTTTAAAAAAAAAAATAACTAAGAATAACTTTGATAGAATATCGTTGATAGAATATCTATTCTATGAACGTTTTATACTAGAATTTATATAATAATAAAATGCTCTATTCCTTGAATGATCTGTAGACATGAGAAACAAAGGTTTTCAAATATGTTAATGTCCTTCTTTAGGTTTTCCTCTAGTATTTGTATATTCCTTATTTTCAAACTAGATTGTGTTTGTTACGATGGGCTTTGGGAACTCATTTTATACATAAATCTAAGTCATCCCTTTATTTGACATGGCGTGTATCGTGGCTAGCAACTTCCTTCCTGGCATTATACTTATGACATCACAACATCATCATATATGTCTACCAATCATACGATTATTATTTCCTGTGCATAACATGATCAATTCATTTCACACACATACACAGGGACATTTCCATCAACTAATTGAAAGAATCCACATTCCCTCCAGGCAGTTTGCCAACATTGTTGATTACTTCCTTATTGAGGAAAGTGGCCATGTTCTTTCAACTTCTTAAGACAACTATAACACCATGCTCATCTCAATCATCTGGTCACCGCACAGTGTCAACGGTGGTGACCAAATAGACTCCTGCAGTTCTATCTTTCAGCTTCCACAAACAGGCCTACATTCACTAACAATTAATACATAATCTACC